AATGTAGACGAGGGAAGCATTGAATATTTTGCTTGTGGGTCCTACAGTCAGCTCACCGGATTCATAGTGCTCAGACCACTGACTCCATGGTATTTTTTGATGAAGCCCAAAGTTTCCTTTCAAGTCTGACAAAAAGCAGGAAGGTTAACACACGAACACAATTCTGCCCTGGTTTCTGTACAGTAAGGCTTTCTCAGGAGCAGTTTACAGACAACAGAGAGAGGAGATTCAAGCAAAATTAAGTAAACAGGCAATAATTTGACATCTGCAGTTCTTGAGTATTAGATCCTACATGACCTGTCAAGCGCCTCTCTTTCCTACTGCCACCATGAGGGACAAAAAAACCCCAAGGCTGAGAAAATCAAGAATTAGAACACATTGTTTTATGCATAATTTTCATTTCTCTCATGGACAGACAGGAGAAGAAGTGCTCATAATTAAAGTAGTATCGGGAGGCACATCACAACAGTAAGTTACCATAATCCAGCACAGGTCACCAAGGTGATTTTAACCTAAAGACCAATTAGGTGGATGATTTCATTAAATTAGGTCTCTTTTGGTCCTTATCAGAGATAAAATTGCTGCAGGATATATCTGAAGGATGACAGGAATTGTCCATCACTTCACTAAAGAGTGTCAGAAGTGGTCCTGGACATCTGAAATTTCCAGCACTACCAGGTGTGATTTTGGAAGCAACCCACCAGATCCTTAGCCAGAGTCATAGTAAACAGGATAGAGTATTGCAGGAAGAAGAAATCTCTGCTTACAAAGCTTTATGTTAAAAAATGTACACATAGGGGCATGAGATCAGCTAACATGAGATCAAGGTATCATCAAATACAATGGGAAATACATACTTTTTTTGCACAGTGAGACAAGTAAAGGGATGAAGATTATGTATGACTAGCATTACCCTTCTAATGCCAATATTTTGCCTGAATTTTATCCATTTAGTACACTGTTGGGGGACACTATAACTCTCCTTTCCCTGCCAGTAAACTGTTGCTGTATTTGTGATCAGAATCACGAAGAAACATATTTTTATGGTGATGGAATACCTTATTTCAAGTCTCAAACCATAAATACTAATTTGCTAAGTGTGCAAAATGGTTATTTTTTTGCACACATTGTAGGAGTAAATATTAAAAATTGCTGACCCCCAAAACATTTTAAGCAGTTACTTGAAAACTTCAAGGAGGCAGCAAAAATCCTAAGAGTGACTCCTTCTGTTGCCAGATACTGTTTTGTGTAAAATATTCAGGGTTGGTTGGAATCTAGTCCCTCTAAGAAGAGAGAAGTGAAACACCAGGAACTTATAAATATGGTTAAATGACCACAGCTGCTACTGCTGACATGGTTACCTCAATATAAAAGACATCTCTGCTGCATAGTTTGTTTTGATAAATTTGTAGAAATAAGCTCTATCTGTATAATCACTCTTACTCATGTTACTTCAGTCCACTTCAGAGTTGCATCAATTTATTGGTATTGGTTACTAAGGTGCTGAGAACACAGCTGCATTGGGCAGGACACGTCTCAAGAATGAAGGAATGAAGCAATGAAGGAATGAAGGACCACTGCCTCCCTAAGATCTTGCTCTGTGGTGAACTTGCCACCGGCTGCTGCAAGAGAGGAGCCCCGAAGAAAAGATACAAGGACTCCCTGAAGCAACATCTCAGCCTTGGCCATATTGATCACCATAACTGGTCTACTCTGGCCTCAAATTGGAAGGCCTGGAGACACACCATCTATAACGCTGCTGCTTCCTTTGAGAACGCACGCAGGATCACTCTCGAGGAGAAAAGACAACGCAGAAAGAATCGTGTCTTGCAGAATATACCATCTAAGGAGTCTTTCTGCTGTGCCCTTTGTAATAGGACATGTCTATCTCGTACTGGCCTTATTACCCACCAGCGTGCTTGTAACAAATGTGGACAGAGCCTTCCCAAATCTTCGTTCGCGAAGCCTAGCCATGATGATGATGATGATGGTTAGTAAGGTAAACAGTCAATACAAAACTTCTCTGCAGGTCAACCACACATAGTCCAGTGACTCCAGTAAGTCCAGTAAAGGAGGGAATCTAGTCCAGAATTTTCCAAAAGCATTAACTAAAACACTGCACTTCAATGTCACCTTTTAGCAGGGTGCCTTGAGTGCATTGTAAGCATTTAATAGAGAGAACCTCCCACTGCCTGTGAGGTAGGTTAGCAGTGCAAACCATTTCGCATGCCAAGAAAAGGAAAAGAAATGGTTCCAGGAAATTAGTTTAAATAGTCATACAAAATACATGAGAAAAACCCTAGATATTTTCTCTCTCTCTCTTCTGGTTCTATGGTGTGATCAAGCATGTGATCTTTCAGCTTCATTTTGACAGCCAAGCAGCAGATGAAGTAGGAGTTCAAAAACCACAGAACAATGTAGCAAATCTCAGCTAATTTGAGAAAGGTATAGTCAGGAGAATAAAAAGGCAGAAATGTTCAGTGGTCGCTTAGTGTCACATATTTGGAGATATTTTTTGCCAGAAAGTAAAATAATTGATATTAAATACATATTTGCAAACAAATTGCTGTGTCACAAGTATCAAAACTGATTTCTTGCCATCACATTCTTCCATTTAACTGTATGCAACCAATACAAACAACGTAAGCTCCCTGGTAGCAAGAAAGACTTTCTGTACTGTAAAAAAAACTTGATGCTTTGGCACTGAGTGGAAGACAAAACAGAGGGATATATAGAGTCCATGGGACCCAAGTAGTAAAAGAAATATTTGAACTGTCACTGAGATCCAGCTTCAGGCAAAATTAAGAATAGCCCACTGCTGTACATGCATAAAGGTAGGAATCTTCTTCCACAGAGAGGCACAAAGAGGTGGTGTGCTAGTAGTCTCAAGGGAGCACCACAGCCGTGGACAAGCAGCTGAGCAGTTGGCTGGATGTTGGTGGCTGCCTGTGTCGGTTATGCATGATGTGCAAAGCTGCCATATGCTGCATGGCCCAGCCAGGGTCTCAAGCTGCTTCTCCACAGGAGGATCTCCATCTGTACCCCTGTTGCATGTGCCTCCAAGCTGAGGAATTCCAAAAGGGCTGCCAAGATCCGTAAAAAGTAATATCCTTGCTCTCTTGTCAGCGCTGGCAAAAACAAGGTCTGCATTCCTTTGACTGTGGGCTCTTTGGAGCAGGAATGGGAAACACAAGTGCTACCATTAATATTTGTCCTCAGAATGCTGAATTATGTAGTAGAACTTGTAAGAAAAAAGTGTTCATCTTCACAGTACTTGAACATAACTTCTCATTTCAGGTGGGTGCCTGGCATCAGGGCTCTGCCAGGTTGGAAGGTACATGGTACTCTCTCTTCAGCAAAAATGAAAGAAATGGTTGATAAAAATCAAAGCCACACATTTAGCCATCTCAAATTAGACCACAGTACTCGGAGAGGGTATCTACTGCATCATTTTGCCCAGCTGGGCAGCACAAGGTACTCCACCACTCTGTGTAGGTGTATCACACACCCACTTCAGGTATTAACTGCGGTGTAGTAGAAGTCTTGGCCAAACTCTCTTGAGGCAACCATCTCACCACTGGCAGCAGCTGTCATAAGAAGAGGTCCCCAGGGCTGCAGTCAGGCTGTAGAGCTATGTGGCTTGGTGGGACACAGCACACATGGACACAACCCATGGAAATAGAGCATCACTTCCCAGCCCTAAGAGACATATCAGCAGGAGAGGGATCAGGATTCCTTTCTGCACCACTGTGCCATAGCCAGCAAAGTCCCAATGACTGCTTAGCCACAGGATTGAACACAATCTCAGCCTCTAATACCATGCATCCTAAATTCACCAGGTGGACAGATTTAGTAAAGGACACCGTAGCCTGGCCAGTCATTCTAATCCTGCCAGCCTATTTGGCAGTCCTCTGAAGTGCACCTCTCAAGACAAGGCAGTGCATAGATTTAAATACCATTGTGAGGCAAAATTAGTAAGGCAGGAAAGCACCAGCTCTTCTTTGGATAGAAAAACACTACAGCACTTGCTAAACCAAGGAGAAAAAAAGAATTCATGTTTTATACAGTGAGAAGAATGTGGTTATTACAGCTTGCTCATTTCATTTAAGTATAAGGCAGAAACAAGTGCTTGGCTGTACACAGAAGGGAGCATTCTGCACTCGATCGTGTCAGATGCTGAAAAGCGATTTGAGACATCAAACAGATTTTACAAGCAGTTTTGAAGATGGGATGAAGCTCTTCTGCCATCAATTGTGATATATTTAGCGCAAGGCGCTTCTTCAGGAAGCCTCCTATATGTCTCTTGCACAAAGCACGTGTGAGAGCAGCCAGCAAACATCCTCATCTCTAGCAAACCCTCCCTCGCTCTCCCCAGGCACACACGCAGCAGATACCTCTTAGATCCCCTGGATAACCATTCTGCAAACCTTTCCCCAGCAAAACCTCCACACATCCACACAGCAAAGCTCCCTTTAGGTCTCTCCAGGACATCCATGCAGCAAACACTCTTGTCGCCCCAGCACATCCATGCAGCAACATCCTCCGCGCCCGATCACCGGGAAATTCATGCAGCAAAGCCCCCTGGCTCCACCGAACACCATCCAGAGCTCCCCGGGACAGCTGTGAAGCGGCGCTCCTCACCTACCGCGGACATCCAGGCACCAGCCTCCCCTTGCCGCCGGGATATGCATGCAGCAACCCCGCTGAGGTCCTGGAGGTTATCGACCCGGGAGAGCCCGCGAGCCCCACTGGGCAGCGCCGCACCTCCAGTCCCCCGGGGCACCCGTGCACAAGCCCTTCCCGCCGACAGCCCCCGCTTCCCCGGCTGCTCCCCCGGCAGTCCCGGTCCCGCCGGCGGCGAGCAGGACCCGGGGGCGATGGTGCGGCGATGGAGCGCCCGATGGGGCCGCGCTGCCCCGCGGTGCACCCCGCGGGGGGCTCGCGGGCCGTGGCGAGGGCCGGGCAGCTCTTTCCCCTGTGGTCTCCAGGGACGGCCTCACCTTCTTGCTGTCGGCGGCGGCAGCGAAGCCCCTGCCCTCGCCGCTCACCGAGGACGAGCGGCCCGGGCCGAGGTGCTCCTGTTGCGGGGACATCACGTCCATGCAGCCCCGCGCCGCCGCGCTCCCGCCGCGGGGACACCCGCACCATGGACAGGGCGCGCCGCGGCGGGACACGCCCCCGCTAGTGGGACACGCCCCCTGGGACACGCCCTCACAGGCCACGCCCCCCGTCTCGGGCCCCGCTCTGCACAAGGCGGGGCCTGGAGGCGGTGGGCGGGGGGGGGTAATACGCATGCGCGACCGGTGGGCTGGGGGGCGCGAGCAGACGGGGCTGGGGCGGTGGGCGCGCGCTAATGCCGCGCCTGCGCGCGCTCGCTACTGAGGCGGGAGGCGCGAGGCGCGAGGGCATCCCGGGAATGGGGCGGTGCAGGGTCCGGGCACTGGGGAGCTGTTGAGGGGTCCCGGGGTAGGGAAGGTGTTGCACTGTCCCAAAGCTATCGTCCCCTCCCCGCAGTTCACCACGAGACATCGCTCTCCCCAGAGCCCTCCCGCGGGAGGGTCCCCACCTGAGGGCGGGCAGCGGGTTGGTGCGGGTGTGCGTGGGGGTGTCCCGTGGCAGCACAGGGGATGCCGTCGTGCTCCAGAAAGCCATGAACAACAAGGAGGAACCACTAATTACACTAATGGACGGCGCTGGCTCAAGAACAAATGGGTGCAAGTAGGCTATAAATAAATCTGAGCTGGAGAAAGAGAGAAAGCATCCTGATCGTACTGATCCTAAGAGGAGGAGGTTGTGGAGTATCACTGCCAGGCAGGAGCAGAAGGTGTAAGTGCGTGAATGGTGGTGGTTTGATGCAGCTGTCGTGTTAGTATATCCCCATTAAGTATGGTGTCTTCAACAGCAAGGGCTACTCCTGGTCACCCAGGAGGTTCTTTCTAACCCTGTGTTTCTACACTTTGTGAGGGAAAGTTTTATCTCCAGCCTTTCCAGCTGTTACAGACTCTACATGCATTTTCTCCCACATTGATCACAAAAAAAAAGCAGAAAAAAGAGATCCTGCCATCTCATGTGCAGCCTTTCATAACTACCATTTTTCTTATGCGAGAAGAGTTTTTACATCTGTGTGGTGAATTGGAGTGGGAATTGTTTCAGCTTTAACAAGGTTACTTTTCCAGGAGAACCCAGGCTGGTTCTCCTCCTGGAGGCAGAGACTGATGTGCTGCTTCCATAACTTGGTGGCAGTGGCTCTTGCCACATAGTACTGAAACAGCAGTAAACAAAGAATTTGTTATGTAGCCACCCTGGACAGGTTATTTAGGCTCAGCATGTCCATGTGATAGTGCTTCAGTGATCTCTTTGTTGAGATTGATGTGGGCATCTGCCCTCTGCTTGCACCCTCATTTCTGCAAATCAATGAAATCATGTAAGTAAAGGAAAGATGAAATATTAAAGGCAGGGATGCAGTGTGAGTAATTCTACTTCTTCAGAGGGGTTTTGTGGATCTGATTCGGCTTTTCCTTCTTACTCTGGCTGACCAATTAAAAAGTCATAGATATCTCTGACCACCAGGAGATACCTCCTGTGTGTCTGATTTCAGAAAACCCAGCAGTCTACCCCTAATATCCTTGGGAAAGAGCAGTGGATGGTTAGGGTAGAGGTTTATATGCACTGTGTATGTTAACATGTCATGAATTTCACTATTTCCTCTTTGTTGCATTTGTAAAGTCTTTCAGCTGAAGTGTAAAGCCTTGAAATTATACATTCTTGGTATCTGCCCTTATTTATAGACAGATGGGCATTCATCACCGAGGCAAAACAGCGTATAAAAACACCTTCTGAATTTTTAAAGCATGACTGAAAAACCACTATGTCAGCTGATTTTTGCACCTCTGGGCCTTGGCACAGGCCGGGCGTCAGGCCAGCTCCAGGCACCCATCCCTAGATGTGGTGCAGACCTTGTCCCGGTGCTCTCACAGCTCCTCCCATCCTCTTAGTTGTGTCCCTGTTTCTCTTCCTTCCCCTCCTTCCACCACAGTCCAAGTCCCTCGAGGGGTTTGCAGCAAGTGGAGAGCAAGCAGCATCATAGGCTTCCCCTGGAACAGCACCCAGCTCTATAAAATGGGGAGGCAAGTCCAATTTCTGCTGCAAGCACCCAAGCCAGTGGGATGCTATCCCCAGACAGGTCTTCAAACTTCTGTGAGAGGGCTAAGAAAAGATTCATTAGGGTAGAAAAGAAACAGTATGAAATGTCTATTCAAAGCCCAGAATATATTTAGCGATTTGGCAGCCTCTTTTCCAAAAACATTTGCAAGTGATGATATTCTCAGTGACGTTTTGGAAACAGGGCTGTATGTATATGTTTATTTTGCAAAGGAAATGTTACATAAGCTTTCCGAAATACTCGCACGTGCTTAGGGGTGTTCTTTTATCTACTACCTTGAGCACATTTGCTACATTCTTCATTAAATACTGACTCTTTTACCTACTCAAAGGGACAAATAGATTGAAGTCTGGCTATTTGGTGACCAAGACTGGAGAAGGTGCTTCTCTGTGAAGCAAAAATATGTTCATATATGCAAACGTACAGCCAGCATGTTTTTGTTAGCTTCAGTTCTTCCCTGGTGCCAATGTTTCCATACCTTTCCTTAACCTGCTCTGCCAGAAAAATGGATGGGAATTTTAGCCCTGGAGATGTGAACTGGCAGGAGTGACTGGGAGAGAGCAGGGTTTTACAAGCCTTGCTTCCTCTTGCTGTAGCACAAGGAGGGAGCAAGTAGAGTACAGTAGCAATGTACAGGCAGCCTGAGGCACCTTGCCTGTAAAGAGACCTCTGGTATGACACAGGCAGTGAGTGTCTTATGGTGATTAATCTCAAAGGGTAAAAACAAGTAAATCCAAATGGGAAACAGGAAAAATAGGTTTTCCCAAAAGACTGTTTAGAGCTTAACCGACAGTTTCTTTCTGGCAGACCAGGACTTTGTTAATTGATTTCTGTCTGGATTTTGAGAGATCCTTGAAAACTGGGGAAGTGATCAAGACTGGGGGCGGGATGTCATTGCAGCCTGTGCAGAATCCCCAGGACTGCCTCTGCCTGATGCTTAACCTGCCTCTGTGCAGAGAATCCCAATGGGATAACCACCAGGTCTCCCTCACTGCTTGTCCAGGGATGCAGAATTTCCCACATGGGCTGGTGTGGGGCCAGGCCAGCCATGTGGCTGCTGCTGCTGCCCAAGCCACCCCAGGTCCTGCCACCCCACAGCACACAGCAGGTACGCTGTGACATTGACCAGGCTATAGGGCACCTACTGGGTGCTGCTTCTCATAACACCAATGCTGTCAGGGTTTTAACATCTGCTTGGGCAGTTCCAACCCACTGTTGGTCTGAACAATGAAAAGATGAGGTGTATAATTGCACCAAAGCAATCTTAAACTGCACCATCATCACCACTAGCTAAAATCCTGCTTGAGCCCTGCCCCCAAGAAAAGACATACGAGGCTCAGGAAATAACATACATGTTCATTAAAAGATTTTCTTTCTGTTGCCTTGGCCACAGTGTTGTGTGAAGAAAAATACCAGAGAGACGGGGGGGAATTGAGGCAGAGAAATATATGAGTGTTGTAGGAAAATCATGCTTGTACACAAAGACAGAGGAGAATTATTCATGGACAAACCCATCCAGGTGGAAACGTGACCCCTGTAAATCGGCCACATTAGGGAAACCCAGAGTGAACTGTTAGCAAATGCAAGATACACAGGCTGCCTCTACCTCCAGTTTTTATGAGCTTTCCAAGCACGTTAGCACTAGCAGACATTCCCTTCCAAGAAAATTATGATATCCAAGGAAATATGTGAGACTATAAATGAGTGAACAGTACTTAACTTGAACTAAAAAAATGTGATTCTACCAAATCTGCCCCATAAGGGTACATTTGCCTGAACACTGATTTTATGAACTTCACAAGTGCCCCATGCAATTAAAGACATGAAGTTGATCTGAATTAGAAACTCCAGAGGCAGTTGTATTTCAATGAGATCTGATACAACAGATCTCTAATATCCCAGTACCTAGAATCTCATGCTTCTCATGCATGACAGCTAAAAATAGGACCATATCCTGGACAGATTGGAGCTACTCAGATGGAAAAAAGCTGAGCTGAAAGGAAAGCTTGGAGAAGGAGAACAAGACGGATGGAATGGAACTGGAACTCAGCACAGGAGCTCTTAATGGCAGGTTTTACCCTACAGTGTGAATCCTTCATTGCTCATCTTCACAGTGTTTACTGCTGCTCCTTCCCAAAAAAAGTTGTATTAAGCTGAGAGCATCCTCCATGCTCTCTGATTCCAGAGAGTCTGGGCAGAAGGTGGCCCAGCTACCAAGTCCTACCCCTCTGTTTTGATAGCAACCTGCTAATAAAACTGTTTAATGCTGTGTGAGTAGCTGCTAAGTGGAATTCATGAATGTCCTGGGATTCAGGCTACAGCAGTTATTAATGCTTGTGCAGATAGGTTCACATTAACAGGAATTGCCCCCTTCAGTCCCTTCCCATGCTATAAAGTTTGCAAGGCCTTTGGAACCAGATGCTCTGCCTCAGAGGCTTCATAAGCACTGAGCAACACCTCACTTGGGTAGTTCCGTCAAAGTTCATCAAATGAACAAAGATCTACCCACTCTATCCCAGAAATACAGGTGGGTCCCTTGGGAATGTGGAGTCCAAGTTTGCAGCAGGTGACGTGTTTCCAATGGCAGGGACAAGTGTGGACATTGAACAAGGACCCCAGCTGACAACTCTGCTGTAGAAATAGAGTGCAAGTACTGGAAGAGTCAGCACTGGGTGCTCCACAGCGCTGGGTGCTCCACATGGAATCACCACTGTGGCCACTTAGAGCCATCCTCCCATGGCTACACATGCTGCCAAAATACGAGGGAAGACTTTCATGTCCCAGCCTTACGAATGAACCTACCAATGATCCTACCAATTCTTAACATCCCCTTCAGCCTTATTACATATGCTCTGTGAAATTCAGTCCAGTGCATCAAAGGGAAGTTTGCCTTTGAAGGGCAGCATGCTTCCTGCATGCAAACATTGCTCTGATTTAATTAGTTTTGATTTTA